CCACCGGGAGGGCGGGGCGGAGGCGACCCGGCGGCGCCCCGGAGGCCCGCTGCCCCTCGACGGCCGCCTGCTCACCCCCACACCCCAGGGGAATCTCTGGGGCAGAAGCTCCGGGCCACCTGCGCTTCCGCCCCATGAGACTTCAGAGCCCTGAAGGCCGCGTGTCATCGCTCCCGCGTGGGTCCTGTGCTGGTGGCTCCCAGATGGGCGGGGAAGAGAAGCTGGAACCAGAGCGAAGATCATCACCAGGATCTCCGGGGCGGGATGTCGGGCCGTCCCATTTAGTGTGAGTTACGGGGAGTGGGGCAGGTGGGGTCTCTTCGGGGCCTCACCCCGTACCCTGCGATGCTCACGGCTCGACGACTCCCGGAGTGATAAACAGTGGGGGGTAAGCCCGGCGCCCGGCGCAGCTCCACCTCGCCCTCTGCAGCGGTCTCCTTACCCCTAAAACGGGGTCGTGGTTGTCACCCAAGTCACGGGGTTATTGTGACTACCGTTGCCACGGACATGGTCAGTGCCTGCCACTGAGCGCGCTCTCGCCAGTGTTAGTGGTTCTACGTTTTTACCACGGGAATCCTTCGGAGCCAGTGTCTCTCCGGGACGCGGACGGTGTGGAGGAGACGAGCGAGCAAGCACGGCCGCACACATTAGGGCTCGTGTCCTAAGACTGCCTTACCCCTTTCGGGGTGATTTTGTACACATTTCCCTCCGTGGCAGGCAGGTCAGGACACGTGTTTACGACCTCAGCTTTACACAGGAGAAGACTTCCGGTCGGAGAAGGTGGGCGAGCCCCCCAGGCTCCCGGCTAGGGTTTGGTGGACACAGGATGGGCCTCCTCCTGCCTTTCATCCTCCCATCACCCGGTTCCTCCTGGACGCCAGAATGTAAGCGTTCCCACAGACTGACGTGCCATTACTACCAAGTCCAAAAACACCAAGTCTCAGCTGTCCAAATATTTGTCAGCCCTCGGCGTTTGGAGAAAAGCAATTCGGTTCATACTTGTCCCAAACAAATATAAATGGCACCAACAGAAGGACCGGCGCCCAGGACAGGAATGAGGGCTTGGAGATCCTTGCTGTCAGCGAACTGTTTCCCTCCTGCTGAAGTATGCCCAGCATTGTAATTCTCTGTAGCATTCGAGGGGGCTGAGAGCCTGGAGCAAAAACGGAGATGCCACCAGCCCTGGTTTTTTGGTTCTGTTTTGGGGGTTTTTTTAGGGAAAGGGCGTGTTTTGCCAGCAGGTGGCGACACAGAAGCAGAAGGTTTAAACGTATTAATCATAAATCTGAACTGGGAGATCATCTCACCCAACCTGCAAATGTTATTCCCAAAGAAATTAAGGTTCACAGAGGGTCTGTGACTTGTTTAAGGTCATACACCTGGTTAATGGCTGAGCCAAATTAAACTCCGTTCTCGCCATGAACTCAGAATGTGCACGAACACAGACTTGCCTTTCAAAATAGCCTGACATCCTCATCATATGAAGGAAAATACCACTTCTTTTGAGTGTGTTCATCATTGCAGCCAAGCTGATGAGCTGGGGAGGTGGGCAGAGAAGGGATAGAGGAAGAGACACAGCTATTTTTGGTGTCCTTCTGAGGCTTCATAACACATTCGTGCTGCCTCTGAGCGCTTCCTGGCCATGATCCCCCCCACAGCCGTCAGGGACGGCAGGGTAAGAATACCCCTTCCCGACCACCCCTTCTACTTTATCAGCACCGGCTTATAGTGGGGGCGTTCAACACTTTACTGAAAGGCCAGGCGCCGCTTTGCTATTTAGTGCACAGGTGGCATGGTGTGAGAAGCAGATACTCAGGAAATGAGGGGACCACCTGCCCTCTGAAGGGGCCTAGATTTGTTCTGTGTCGTTCTAAGGAAGAGAACATAAACAGATGGGTAAGTCAGAGGTACCTAAAATGACTTTGGGCACGTAGTGGGTGCTTCATAAGCATGGATAGAGGGATGGGTTAAGATTTCAGATCGATACAATGAAACATTTTCTAACAGTCTCAGTGGTCCAAGACGGAATGTACTATCTTGGTTGAATATGTAATGAATTCCCTGTCCCTGGAGGTATTCAAGCACCAGCCATGCAGTCACTTGGTAGGGATGTTGTAGAAGCATGCTGGGGGAGATTGGTTTGGATTGGGTGAGCTTTTGGGCCCCCTCGAAACCTGGGATTCTTATTTTCTATGATTCTTGGTGCACAGTGAAAGAATGGAAAAGGCAAAGATGTTTCTGTCTTTGGTTTTCAGAGCTTTCCAAGAGAAAAATCCTAAAGGTTTTAGGTGGCCTTCTAAAGCCTGGTCCCATGTTCCTTTACTGAACTCTCTGCCACAACTGAAAAATGTTATCATCCTGGAAGTTCATTTGAGAGCTTCTGCTGGTTTCACCTAAATAACAAGTTTGCTTCTTTTTAATTTTGAAAATCAGGGGAAATGGACTTGTGGCAACCTGGATCGGTCCTTTTAGATGCAGGTAATTATGCAGCCCAACCTCCTGGCCATGACTAGATGGAGACACATAGGATGACAGAATTAGGAGAGTCTGACAAGCCAGTGGGTGGCGCAGAGGCCACTCTTGTCCATCGGGTAACAAATGAGAAACGTGAAGACTAAGATCTACAACGGGAATGAGTGGGTTCCTCGCCCCCAAATGAGGCTTCAATGCTCATTCCATCTCGAAGCATACACTGACTTCCTGCTATTTCCCCTTCTTTCTTTGCAGAGGGGTATTCAGCTTTCCCTTCACGTGAATGGGTGTTGTTCGCTTTTTACTGAATTAAGTGTTTGAAACTCCAACAGCAAATCCAGCTCTCGGTCTGAGGGCAGATTTTACTGGTAGGGAGAAACGGGGTGGAGGAAAGGACGCTGGCCTCTCATTTCTTCCCCCCTCCCTCCAACGTGGAGCCTTGGACAGTTTCTCTGAGAGGCTCCTGGCTGAGAAATGCCGTTAGACACCCAAAGCGAACTTTTAAAATGATGCGAGGAAGTGGGATGAGCAGATTGACCTTTCATGGAAAGATGAAATCATGTGCTTGGCAAATTGGAAAAACTAACAAACTTAGAGAAAGCTCACCGCAGCCAAGAGCGAGCAGAACCTCCAGCACCTTCCTCCTCTCCCAGAGCCTCTGGGAGGGTGCCCCCGGGCATCCCAACAACAGGGAGACCAACTGACCAACTTCTGGTGCTCCCTGAGAAACTCACTGGCCTTCCTGAGCCTGAAAAGATTCTCATTGATTGTCTTTAATCCCTTAAATGATACATGTGTAAACTTGGCTCCCATGTAAATGGCTCTAAAGAAAACTCCTGAGCCTGAAATTACATACACACGTGTGCGCACACGTGCACACTCTCAAAGCACAAAACCCTTTTGCAGCTTTACCTCTAATCTCAGGCTGTGGAGGGGAGGGATTGCTCTCTGGACCCTCTTACTTGTTTGTGATACTGGGGATCTTAGGTCCTCCCTTCAGTCTATATCTGCCGCCATTAGATTGTCCATGTGTCTCACCCATCTTTGTTCATTGACTCAATCACCAAATGTTGACCAAGGACCTACATGGGGTAGGCACAGTGAAGGTTTACATGATGAGCAAGACCCATGCCCTGACCTTGAGATTTTCAGAATTTTACAGAGGGATAATTTACACTGGCCAAGTGTTTCCTGCTTGCAGGTAAGGAAACTAAGGCTCAGACTCTGTTAACAGGCAGTAGGGAACAGACCCTGGTCTTCTGACTTCAAACCCCCTGAGCACCCAGGAGAGTCCCGTGTCTTTAGTAGGCTGTCAGTAATTCATTCTTACCTCTGAAGGCGGGGGCAGTGTGGAGAAGAGCACAGTCAGCCTTAAGCCAAGCCTCCCCCCGAACCCCAAGCTGAGTGTGAATATCCATTATGTCCCCATCCCTGGGGTAAGGCCAGATGCTTCCTGTTCTTGTAAGTCACCAAAAGTTTTACTGCTCTTTCCAGGATTTGTTCCAAAAGAAGAATTAAGCACACAGTCTTTGGATTCAGTATCCCAGGGAGATGCAAGTAAGTGAACTGACAACTGGAAACCCAGAGGTGCTGTGATATCCGATCTGCTCCCCTCTCTCCACACTCAGCCCACCCAAACCCCCTTCTCTCCCACCCTGGATCTATTTATCTCCTCTCTTCTGTCACTTTGTTCTAAGGGGAAAGGGAAGCTTATGGAGGATTTAAACTGTCTGTGTGCACGAAGGGGAAAGGATCAGATTTTTTCAACATCACCATGGCAACAGGGTGGGATGGAAAGGGGAGACAAAGGAGGAGGTTAAAGGAAGAGACAGCCTTGCCAGCAGGGTTAGTGGCCCCGTGAACAGGATGGCAGACAGAACTCTGAGCTGGAGGTGGAAATGCGGAGAAATAGGCAGATTCAGGAGACAGAGAAGGACGAATCTAGAGGTTTGGAGGTGGAGGTGTGAGAGAGGAAACCAACGAAGATGATTTGAGCAACTGGGATAATGGGCACTGCCATGAGGACCACTAGGATGGGGCAGGTGGGGGCAGGGAGATCGTTTCTGACTGCCATCTTCCACAAGACATTCGGTCTAGTAGACAGTTGACTACCCAGATCTGACTTGAGAAGGAGCAGCCCACCTGGGAATTCAGAGTTGGAAGATGATGAGCTAGGATTCAAAACCAAGGTTATGAAAACAGGAAAGGTGACCGAGGGAAACAAGAGGGCTTACACCTGAAGAACTTCAGCACTAAATAGGTGGAGGAGAAGCCACCTGAAGATACCAGGAAGGAAGGATCAGGGAAAAAGAGGAAAACCAAGACGCAGTTGAGTGTTGCAGGCCAAGGAGATCACCTGCAGATTCCCTCAGAGAGTCGTTGCAAGTCAGCCACCCGTGGGCTGGGAGTCACAACCCAGCTATGTAGGAGAATCACCTGAAGACATTTTTAAAAACTCAAGATGCCCAATTCCTGGCTCATACCTACTGAATCACCCTCAGCCTAGATCTTCCTACCCGGGATACAGGTTGACCACATCAGCATCACCTGTGGGCTTGTTAGAAATGCAAAATCTCATGCTCTACCTCAGACCTACTGGATCAAGTGATTTCTTTGCATGTCAAACCTTGAGAAGCCCATCCCAGAGTGATTCCCGGGCATCTTCCTTTGTTGAAGCTGCATAAGCAAATCTGATACATATCCAGGGTTAAGAAACACTAGCCTAATGCATTGGACAGCACAGAGTATTCATCTATAAAATCATATGTTGGAGAAAACCAAAGCAATTAAGAAAATTGGTAGATTGATTCCTGTGGACACTCTTTTTCTTCCTTGTCCTCCAACCTCTGTCCTCTGTGACAGTAATAAATTGCTCATGCTGAACATTTAGTGACTCAGTTCTATCCTGTAGTATTGATGTCATCTTCCTATTGGCATGTTTTCATCTCAGTACGAGGAGGCCACTAGGTCTCAGCACACGCGCAGAGCTGAAACTATGATCAGTAAAGCATCGTGGGAAATGGAGAGCATGAGTGATTCCAATGTCAGCCATCAGGGTAGTGAGTAAAGAGAGCCAAGCAAATAGAGAGCATCTCAGCTTCTTAAAACCTAACTACGAAGTGAGCACTTCAATCCTGAGCACAGCTCAAGATGTAAGAAATAAAAAAATTGTCTATGAAGAAGCAAAACAGAGACTCAAAATCCATGTGCTTTATTTATTTAAAAAGAAAATCACCTTTGGGCCTCATTCTAATTAAGTTATTTTTTTAAAAAAGTTTTCATTTTAAAAAGCATATTGAGCTAATCTGCTGACAGCTGGAAGGAAAACCCCTGACCAGGGGCACGTCTCAAACTTTCACGTGCACCCAGTTCACCTGGAGATCTTGTTAGAATGGGGATCTGATTCTGTAGATCTGGGTGGAGCCTGGGAGTCCTCATTTCCAGCACACCACAGGTGCGGTGAGCAGGGGGCCCTGAAGAACACCACTGCCACCTGCTGGCAACAATTCTCATTGCCAGCTCAGACCCAGGGAAGAAGGGGTTGGCCCTGTGTGGGGTACAACTTCACCAGCCTTAGAACAGTTCTGCTTCTCTTCTGCTTTTTCCCAGGCTTCCACGGTATCGTTAAGCCTCTCACTTCTTGCTTTTATTTGATTCTTCCAATCTTCATCTCAAGGATCATGCTTTGGCATAGGCAGTTTGGGGGCAGCAAAGGACAGGGGAAGCCAGCTGAACAGGACGAGTTGGCAGGCACTGAATGTCCAGGCAGACAGGAAATAAAAGTTTGCAAGATCCACTAATGAGCCAAGGCACTAATTCCAGATGGAGCAGAGTCAGCCAGGCCCAGAGAGGTCTCTGTCATCGCCTACTTCTCCTCTGCCCTTCATTGCCAGGCGCCAGTGCAAGATGATGAAGCACATTCTCAGATAAAACTTTTTTCCTTAATCTGCCAATTCTGCAGTATCGCTCTTTAATAAGTATCTCTTCTCGATTCTGCTTAACACTGTGTCAACTCATGTCCATTTCTTGCTCTCGTTTAATATATACCTATATCCCTCCCTGCCTACTGATCTCCTGGGGAATGGGAAGACCCCGGTTGCACAGAAGCAATGCAACATGCATCAGAGAGAAGAGAAGCCTAGTGGTGGCCTCCTGGGCAATCGTGCTGCAGCCTAGAGAGTTCCAGGCTTGTCCAGACGGCTGCAGAAAGGCAGAAAGGACAGCACTGCTCGCATGTCCTCGTGGATACTGCAGCCCAGAAATTCCTACCTTTACTGCCCCTCTCTCTTTCTTTCCCCCATGGAACTCTGTTTTGAAATATTTTTGTCTCCCAAATCGCAGCTGTTCAACGATTCATTCCCCATTTTTTTTTTTTACCAAAGGGATATATACCTCCTAATAAGAACTTCTGAACAGTATTGAATATCAGTTTTATCATACTAAGATGATGTAATTTCAATCGAGAGCAAAGAGGACATTAACTATTAGCTTATGTGACTTTCCACCAACTCCTGCAGCGTTTGAAAGGTTGAGAAGAGCTTTTAGCCCCCTGCCTTCCTCATAGCCTCATATCCAGAGATCCTAGCCAGAACAACTGTCCTAGTCCTTATCACAACTAAAAGAAAGGAAAAAATTCAAAGCTTGCTACAAACAAGTCCTGAGATGTGTAGATATATGTGGGTAATTCTACGGTTGCCTCACCTGGGGAAGTGAAGACAACTGGTATCAATTTCTCATTCTACCATTCCTGCCCTCCCCTTAGCACTGGGCCTTGCAGAATTTTTCATACCTTTATAAAAACCCAACACATAATTCTACAAAATTAAGATGAGGGTAAGGGACTGCAAGCTCCTGAGACTCAATCTTGGTGAATTCTACATCTGGGGGGTCTGCACTGAAGTGGTCTGAGCCGGGGAAACCATCCTCAGGGCTTTCCCACATTTGACCGGGAGGCCATTGCTTCTGAAGGCTCTAAGTTGGCTGATACAGAGAATTCTTTTTTTAAGATTTTATTTATTTATTTGAGAGAGAGAGAATGAGAGAGAGCGAGTACATGAGAGGGGGGAGGGTCAGAGGGAGAAGCAGACTCCCCGCTGAGCAGGGAGCCCGATGCGGGACTCGATCCAGGAACTCCAGGATCATGACCTGAGCCGAAGGCAGTCGCTTAACCAACTGAGCCACCCAGGCGCCCTGATACAGAGAATTCTAAAGCAGTTATAGAAATAAGTGCTAGCCCAGGTGTCCAGGACCTTGGTGCCCAGTGAAAATCTGTTATGAACTTAAATAAGTGAATATACCCTGCGTCTTGCCATTACTTTTTACTTTCTTTGCACTGGATTCTCAGGGGGCCCTGGGGGAGAAAGAGGAGAAAAAGCCTGGGTTAATGCAATGAGAGATCATCAGAATAACAGAGCCCTTTTCCATTCCTCAGACTGCAAAGTTGACTTGTCATTTTTAATTGATGGGAGCTCGAGCATTGGCAAACGCCGATTCCGAATCCAAAAGCAGTTCCTGGCTGATATTGCCCAAGCTCTTGACATTGGCCCTGGTGGTCCACTGATGGGCGTTGTTCAGTATGGGTAAGTGCTGTTCTTAATCCAGAAACCGAGTGATGCCACATGCTGAATCTTGTGCCACAAATAATACCAACGTGTCCTAGAGCACAAATTCATCCTCTTCCCTAATACAAATGTAAATGAAAGAAATGGCAGCAATTTCAGGTGCTACTTAAGAAATCAGACTCTTCCAGAAGGGAAGGACAGGTTAGTGAACACTTAGAAGTAAATGGCATTTGCACTCAGGATTCGTAGAGAGAATATTTATCTGGGAATGAGGAGAGCTGGATTCAAGTCTTAGCTCAGCCAGTAACAAGCTACGTGGTCTTGGGCCAGGGCTTCGCCTCTCTGTCCTCAGTTTCCTTTTCTGTAAGCCAAGAAGGTGGACTGCACCCTGTGCTCTGTCCACCTATAGGTAAGACGCCTAGAAAATACGGTGCTATAGGTTGACCTTTCTCTTTTCTCCATATGGCTTTAGGCCTTTGTGCTAGTCCTGGAAAAGGTTACCAGGTAATGGGGAAGACTAGGTGGGGAGGGGAGTGGCCTCTATCAGTCAGCTGAGCACCAGGTTACTGTCCCCAGTCCATCCTATTATTCTAGTTAGGGTAGAAATTGAGCATTCATACTGACATCCAAGCTCAACCTTTTCTCTTATTGGGGGTAATAAGTCAATCTTATTTCATAGTAATAGGTTTCTCCCTAAACGCCGATATACAGATGTTAACAGATAATAAGCAAACAATTGGAAGAGCAAACAAGCACAGATCTCAAATGATAGATGGACTTTTGACCAGGAACCATTAAGGGCAGGATAATGGTCTCACTTTCCACAAAGGACCCTCAGACACAATATGAACCCTCCTTCCCCACAGATCTTCAGCTTAACCTTAACAATGGAAACTAACATAGACCTTGGTGCCTCTTGCTGAGAAGCCGCGGCCCCAGCTTATTTGCCTGCCCCCCCCACAAAAAGTAAAAACATTTATACCTGACAACAGAGGGTCTCCAGATCCTTCAAAATTTCCCAAGGATCTCCAGGAGCAGTATTTTAACCAAGGTTGTTCTATCAAAGGCCCTAGAATATTGATTTTTGAACTGTCAAAAGAAATAATCAAAAACCCTTTATTTTCATAAGAACGTATAATGTTTGTATTTTTAGCATTAAATCCCAATAACACTTGTAGTACTGTCTCCTGTTCCTGTGAAGAAAAATTAGTAGATGAGTTACCTGGCACTTGCATATAGTCAGAGTCAAATAGATGAAAATAACCAATTGCTGCAAATGTCAACTCTCGATGTCAAAGGACTTTGACTTGAGGACTTTAACTTGAAGGACTTTATCTTGAGGACTTTAACTTGAAGTAGAAAAATAGGATTTTTTTTTTTTTTTTGGTCATTGTTTTCTTGTTTTCAAAATGTCAGCCTATTTTCATTCCTGCACTACTTTTTAAAGATAGCAAACAGGGAGCAGTCTCCTCTGGGGAGGATATGCAAGGATTTTAGTACCAGATGTCCCCGGTCAATTTTATTGGGGGGTTCAAAGCTTGGTGTATCATCTTGCATTAAAAATATCTGCTTTAAAAGCTGTGTATACTAAGGTTTATAGTATAATATGAAAATAAGGTAATAAATATGTCAAGGAAAAGAAAAATGGCAGGAGAAAAGTGTGTGCCAATCAGAAGGTGGATGAACGAGCCAATGTAGCAAGGAAGGAAAACCAATTCAGTAAAGGCTCCTCCCCGCCCCCAGAAGACCATTTCCCCCACGTTTTCCTAATGTGATCACCATTTGCAGGAGAGAGTTACCTCCATGCTTTCCAATTTCACTTTCTAAAAATGCCTTGCTATTCGTCTTTTTTGCATCCCCGGTCCTTATTAATTCGGAGCTCTTCAGAGAAATGGTGTCTGTTTTCCTTCACTTTATGCTCACAGTAGCGAATCAGTCATCAGCACCCTCCTTAAGCCACAGGGCACAGGGGAAAGCACAATGAACTAGTGACAGGATATCTTGAATTCTGGCCTGAGCGCTGCTGGGTGACCTGAAGCAGGTGCTTTGACCTCTCCATGGGAGCACTGCCATCTATAAAGTACTGGGGGTGGATGGGATGATGTATTAGGGCTCCGGCAGCCTGACAGTCTGTGATTCAGTGACTGCCTCTGTACTCGGAAGACACCCAATAAATGAATGTTGGGCTAACAGACTAGATGAGCCGCTTCTCCCTTCCTTCCAGCCTCAGTTCCGGTTAGAAATAGGTGGGGACGGAAGGTGGGGTGATTAGTAACAACATGATGTTTTGCACGGAGGTGATGCATCCTTCAGTGGAATGTGGGGAACACAATAAATTGGAGGGCGGTGTAAGAAGGGTGTGATGAGGCACGAGGGGAAATCCTTGTGTGCAAGTGAAATTGCTTGATTTCAGCCTCCTCGCTTTCTCCTTGAGGGGCTCCCTCCAATCCTTTCTTTACCAAATGGTCTTAGTGCCCAGAGAGGGAGGGAGTGGGGCGGAAAAGGGGAGGAGGCAGGAGTCAACGCAGATATGGGGTCTGTGTTTCTGGAAAAGGAAAAGCAGGAAGAGCCAATGCTTGGCCGGTTGGGAATCTGATTCTTCTCCTGGTGCAATGCCCACCTTACCATCACTGGGATCAGCCCTGCTCTCTCAGAATCACAGAGCCTTGGGGCCATAGAAAGATCCTGCTTCCACCTCCTGGTGATAGAGAGGAAATGAGGCTCTAAAAGAAATGACCAGTCCATCAAGGATGAGCCCTCCAAGGAGAGGCCAGTGCTGCCCTCAGAGAGGTTGAGTGACTTTCCCAAGAGCACACAGCGAAATGCATGACCTCTGGGGAGAGGACAAATATTAAATCTTGGGTTAATTCCTAAAATGTCAAACAGAATTGACTACAAAGCGAAGATTTTGCTCATCTGCCCAAAAAGCTTCTGATAAGTGAGGCTTTCCACCACGCTGAAGACGGAGACACTATCCTTAGACAAAAAGCCAAGGACCGAGCCCTCATCTGGCACATGAGTTCTAATGGAGAAGTACACAGCAACAGGCTCATGATCGCACTTAACACCAACGGGGACTCAGAAAGGCTGAGTGAAAGAACAGCCAGAGCAAGTAGCTGTTCGGTGAACTCTAGCCTGCGGAATGAATGAAGCCACGCCGCTTGCATTTTCACGGCAGCTAAGTGCCCCCTGACCTTCAAGATGATTTTGTTTTAGTCTCCAGTTTCAGGATAAATGGAATAGAATTGCACAAGTTCTTTTGAACTCTGTAATCAACCATAGGATATCAACAGTTGGAAAACAGTTATAGAACAAAGCAAAATGCTGGTTTTTCTTCATTTCAAAATGAAATAGACTTTTCTTTGCTCATGGTTCTGTCACAGCTGCCCAGTGTTTTGGAAAGTGGCTCTGGGGTGGCATGCACATCCCTCCTCATCTTACCTGTCGGCCCCAGACTGAAGAGCTGCAGCTGTATCCTCAGCGGCTCCCCCCACCCCCTCACTGTCACCCTCTCCAGAAGGAAAGATGCCCAGAGGCTCCCTGGGTCAGCTGAGCCACCGTGTGGGGGACGGTCGGAGTGGAGGGAAGAACGAGTATCAGGACAGGTGTGGCACGCAGAAGAGTGGCCCCCAAACTCATCTACCTCTGAGTCCCTGGAACCTATGAATATGTTGTCCTCACATGGCAAAAGGGACTCTGTAGATGTGATTAAAGTTAAGGACCCTGAGATGGGGAGATTATCCTGGATTATCCAGTGTCCCCATCTAATCACATGTGACCTTGAAAGCGGAGAACCTTTCCCTGCTGTTATCAGTCAGAGGAACATCTGACTATGGAAGAGCGGTCGGAGATAGACGACTGCTGGCTTTGGAGATGGGGGAAGGGAGCCATGAGCAAAGAATGCAAGCAGCCTCTAGAAGATGGAAAAGACAACGGAGTGGGCCCCCCACCCCCACCCCAGAGCCTCCAGAAGGGAACACAGCCCTTCCAGGGAGACCCATGTCCGACTTCTGACCTCCAGAACTGTAAGGCTAATGAGTGTTGAAGCCACTAGGTTTATGGTCACTTGGTACAGCAGAAATAGGAAACTAATACATTCTGGCACATTCTCTTGAGTCTGCAGCAAAGGAGATGTGGGCAGGGCTGGAGCCTGAGACAGCTCCATAGGGCTCAGAGCAAGTAGGTCCCAACTTCACACTGGCATTACCTAGGGAACTTTAAAAATGTTGGTGTCCGGGTCCCATTCCAGACTTATTAAACCAGAATCTGGTTAATACCCAGGAGCTGATATTTTAGTCTAATTCCGGTCTGTTGCCAAGAGGGCAAGAGACAGCTCAGCTTCCCAGGAGTCAAGTGGCCACGCTGTCCAGAGCCCAGATCCCTCCAATGCCCACCCCAGTCTTCTCGTGCCCTCCACTGCCTTTACAGAAACTACCAGGATCCCAGAGGCCCTGCCTGTCATCGGCTCTCCGGGGCCGAACCGCACAGACTGTGCCTCTACCCTACACTCTAAGAGACAGCAGGTGAGCCCTTGAGCCACAGTCCTCAGAGACACAGTCTCAAGGCTGAGTGAGCCATGAATAACATTTACCCAAAAATCCTATGCTTTTTCTGTTCCTCCCCATTGAGTCCTCCCGGAGGTAAAAATAAAACAAGGACTGCACTTGACTTCCACCACTTGCATTCACCAGCTCCCCTCCTCCCCACCATCGCACGTTGACTGGGCTTATCGCAGTGCTCCCCTGAGATCATTCTCCCTACGTCCCGATCCCTAGATCATTGTGCTAGAGAAGCAGATGGCCACCTCGGTGCACATTAGAACCACTTGGGGACCTTTTGAAAATCCCAATTCCCGGACCAAACCTCAGATCGATTAAATCAGAGTTTCTGAGTGTTGGACCCACACATCATCAATTTTCAGAGCTCCCCAGGTAACTCTATTGTGCAAGCAGAGAGTGCATGCTCGGCTATTCCCACAGGCCTATGCTGTCATCTGGGGCATCCTCTTCCGGCTCTGG